ATGGCCTAGGTATTACCTACATTTATATTACCTGTATGTAGATTACCTATAATAGGTATTACAGTATGAATAACACTCTAAAGAACATGCATGTGACACATATCCTCACTCCACCAGTAATTTGCCATTAAAAAGTTAATGTAATGCAATGTTGTGAATGAAACCTTAAAAAGTTAACATAATGCAAACATCCTCATGCATGTAATGTCCCTTCTGGATTCTGCCACTTGCAGGGAACTATAGAGTTCTGGACTAAGATGGATATTTAGTATTGAGCTCTGAAGAGACCGCAAAAGCCCATCAGCTGTGACCCTGTGATATTTCACAAGAACAAAAATAAAGAGAAAAAGGAAAAAAAAATCAGAACACTGCTAATGGAGAGCAGCTCTTAAATTAAAAGATAAATACTGATTCTCAGAATCTCACCTAAGAGGCTGTTTTAGCTTGCTCTGAAGAGAGGCCTCAGCGCAAATGGAGACAAACAGGAAGGGTACTGGGAAACACCAAATTAATTGGCCTGAAGCAGGCACTAGTGAACAGATGTTATTTATTCTTTGAGGAATTCAGGATTCTTGCAGTGAGAAGTAAAGTTACTGACCTGCAAGATTCAACTACTGTCCCTGAAGCTGTCCATGGAGAAGTGAGGGAATGAGCGGCAGACAGCTAGCGAGCTGCAGTCACAGCCAGAGCACAAAGGGGCATTCATCTTAAAATCAGATGTCATAAAAAATACAGCAAGGAGTACAACTTCAGGATGGAAAGACTTCTTAGAAAAGGCAGAAGAGAAAATCCAGTCTGGCATTAAAAGCGTTACTGCAAAATTGCTAAAGCTGAGCTGTCCGCAAGAGACACTTCATGCATTCAAGTGAGGCAGTCAGTGTGAAATGTAATGTGTTATGTCACCATTTCTCACCTTTTGGGCTCCATAAGAACGCTAACAGGCTGATGGAGAAATAGCATAATTTTCCACATAATGCTTGATTATTAAAGAAAGTGAAAGAAATTACCCAGAGAAACACCAGGTTGGGTTTTTTTTCCCCCTCATAATAAAAAATGAACAAGTGGAGCAGCAGTCAGGAAAACATAGTTCCGCTACTGCTAGGAAAACCCTGTTTAGAGTTCTTATTAGTATCACTTCCAGAAGATAAGGCTATTTTCAAGTCCCTCAAGACAGAAATCCAAATCTCAGGCAATCAGGAGAATAATAGTGATAAGCTCTTTAAAAATTCCTAGCAAGAAAAGAGAAACAAGAAGGAAAATGCAAGGGAAGACTACTTGACACATTGGCAAGGGGAGAATTGCAAAGGCTAGCAGTGAATGAAACTTACTATTGAAGGTGGAATACATGAGACTTTTTTCTCTAGAGAAACAGAATAGTAAGCAGGAGACCAATGTCAGGGCTAACAGCTATGGAAATAAATGGAATAAATGGAAGAGAAAACCATCAGCTCTTCCCAAGGCAACCCCAGTTACCAGAACTATTCATGAAGTGAAGAATTAGATTTCCAGGACGGAGAATATACTTGTCTTGGACTGCAATATCATCAGCACAAGCACTGGCAGTGACAAATGTAGACAAAAAAAAAGTGCTTTGGGAATTTCTAAAGAGAAATCAAGGTACATTCAATTGTATGAATATGACACAATAGGAACCAAAAGGCATTTGTCACTGCAATCAAACAAACCTGCTTCCAGGCTGCCAAGGCCCTTTGTGACTTCCAACTCTTTGATTAAACTAAAAAGTTATCAACTATGATATTTGCCGTCAAAGTAATGTTTACAGAACTAAAGGTGTGGCTCTCCCCAGCAATCAGATAGTGAATGGTTGATAATCTGAGGACACATAGACCTTGCTTCCCTATTTACTTGTTCTTTTAATTAAAATCTTTGCAATAAATCTGTCCACAGTTTTCCTGAACAGTTTTTCTGCCTAGCAAGCACTGGCACATACAATAGAAAGTCTGAAAATATGACCTGCTTTTTGACTGAAGCATACGTTAACCCCACTGTTATCAATAACCCTCTGAAGACAAGAAGTAAGTTAGGCTAATAATCTGATGAAGTATGGCAGGTACTTCTCTTAGCTTATTCTTAAATGAATGCTAAAAATGTCTCTTGCCACCATTTTTTAAAGATCTGCTCATCCTTTTAAGTTCTTTCCATAAGGTAACCAGAGTGGCATTGTCTTCCCATCTATCCTCAGTCCTTAGTGGGGTTTTCTCTTTCAAAATTTAGCCCCTGATAAACAAAAATATTACTTCTTTTACATTCCATATAGGCTCTTATGCACTCATATCAATATGCCTTGACATCCTGCAGTACTTAATTCAGCCTGTATCAGGTCTTTGCCCTTTCACTCTCTTCCCAGGGGGACAATCATTCTTTTTAATTTTTTCTTCTCAATTTATTTTTCGTGTTTTTATTTTAATAGAGAAGGGAATGAAAAGTCTGTAATGGTCCCAAGTTGCCTGGGAACATCATTCAATCTTAAATCAGATCAATTCTGTCAGACGTTTTTCCAGCAGATGTGCTAGTACAAGCAGTTAGTGCTGATTAGCCCTATGACTGACATTACACAGAAGGTTGTGGTGTTCTGATGTGATCTTATAATAAAACAAAGCTTTAATGTGACATACCAAGACTGCCAGACAAAATAAAGACCATCATCCACCTCATCAAGTTCTATTCCAGGTTTTCTTTCTTGTCTTATAAAATGCCCAATGCTTGTATGTTTAAAACAAGCAAAACCTGTCCTCCTCATGAAAAGCAGGTTCTTATCAAATACAGGTGATGAAAAACAAGCCACAATAATACACCAAGAACAGCTATGTAATAAACTAAGGCCTTAACAGGCAGCAAAGCAAAATAAAGCTGAATTAAATAATAATAAACATATGTCAAAGCTGCCAAAGATGTCACAGAGGAGGTGGAAGAGAGCATTTCATAGTTTAAACATTTCAGTCAAGAGCACAGAAGTACACTTTATAGTATGCATTCGACTATTGTCAGAGCCTTCATCCTTGGTCCAATGAACCTCCTGACATCCTACTGACGTGCTCAGACTACGACCTGCACAGACGTCATGGGAAGCTGACAGAGTGCTGTTTGTGTATAGCTCATCATGGCAAGCACCAGGGGGATCCAGACTGTCCCTCTCCCTCACCATCCCTCTTGCAGCAGGGCAGGCTCCCTGCTGATATCTGTCCTTAAGACATCAGGTTTTTCAGGCACGGTATAGGCTGGAAGACATCAGCCTGAGACAGGAAGGTCAGCTATTTCAATGACTCATTAATTAGAGCTTTAACTTCAACATAAGGACAGGCCTAACTGTACTTGGCAGCACAAATGAGGCAGTGATTCATGGGACTATGTGCATCTGAGCCAAAGAGCCAACAGGCATCAGGGAACAGAGTACAGAGTGCAACCGCTCACTAAATGGAAAGCTCAGCTTCGCTCATCTCACAGTAGGTGCCAAAAGAGTTCAGTTGAAACACAGCCCAGTTGTGCCTAATTGTCTTACTTGGCTATAAACTGAGTTTAGCATGACTAGCTTAGATGGCAAGTGCTGCCTCTGAAGTTAAGCAAGACAAAAGCCATTGCTAGTTGCAGAGCTCAAGGATCTTGATAGCTGATCTTATGCTTAAGACAGTACTGCTTGATTCAAGCCTGTGTGCCTTCCTCTTCTCTACAGCTGTGCATAGTTACATTATTTATGTGAAGGAGATCCTTATATCTACCTGAGTTCTCATAAACCTGTAAACTAACTTCCTGGGATGCATCCAAACTACTCTAGTTACCTTTCATGATAAAAACCAACCAAAGACAAAACTGGGTGGATATTCTGATCTCAGAGACTCAAGATGAATGCTTTAACAGCTATTGGAAATGTTAAAAGCAAAATGGACAAGGAGGATCTTTCAGTTGTAAGAGCAAACCCATGATTTTGCAGTTCTTCACATTGCACAAATAAAAACCCAAAAGTATCAAAGACCCTACAGGCTGATATAGTGATGTCTTCCAAATATCTAAGCTGAATAAAGTGTTATCCAAAAGAATTCACTCATGAATGCTTACCAGCGAATAAACTGCAATTTACCTTGTTACATTGTATAAGTGTTTCTTTGCATAAGCTGCCACTTAAGATGGCTATTTATTACTCCTTCCTTTTATGTATCTTGCTCTTTAACAGCCAGTGATATTTTAAGTTCACTTCACCTTTAAAGCATCGGTCTAATGCTAATATATTCCTGTCGCACTGCTGCAGTCAATACTGCAGTGTATATTTTAATAAGAAAACCCATTCATTAAATACCCCACCACCCTTTAAATGATTTCTGCTACTAAGCATGCTTTCCCCTTATGATTTTTATTTATGATGCTTTGCTTCCACTGCAACTTCTTGAGCAGTTTCCAGAGCTTTGTGGAAACCTGAAACAAATGTGTATTCCGTATCCCTGCTGGTGGAGGACCTCTAACATTGCCATGTAATGCTCAAAGCAGAAAGTCCTGCCAGTGTTTCGTTTTCCATGTCTGGTTTCTGGAGAATTCGACAATAGTACAAACAGTATGAGGGGGTAGGAATTCTTTTATTCATTCCAAACTCAATCCATGCGCCACTTTTCATCGTGATCCAATTAATTCAACTGCTTAAAATTCGGTATATATTTAAACATGATTGCTGCAAAGGGATGACTTTGACTATTGCCTCTATACTGCTGTATCATTCTTCACACACTTGTAAAGTCTTTTAATATATTTTTGCAAATATTTTCTAAGATACAAGACAATAACAGGTTTCTTATGATGGCATAAAAATCTTTAAAGAAAAGACAGTGAAAAAGAGGATTCAGTCACAAACATTTCGGTTCCTAAGTTATAAAGGCATTAAAGAAAATATGTTGCTTGTTTTAAAGATTATTCAGGAAACTCTTCTTTCCCAAAGCAACTTTTTTTTTAATAAAATGACTTCCAAGTACTGATTTTAGGTGAGCCATAAAGCATGCAATGTATTCATGAATATACCTTATCATTTCAGCAGTAGGTTACGCTTCCATAGCTAGTTTTAAAAGCAGCAGTTCCCAAAGTCATAATTCTTTTTTATTCTGCATTTATGTCTATAAATAGGACTTGCTGCTCTGCTTCTTTATAATTATTGGAGCTGCTCCCAGACACCTGAAAATAGTAATCTATAACTCTAACTTGCTGTAGGTCTTAAAAGTACGATGATGAGTATATTTAAACTGACGTATTAGTGAGATGCTGATGTTGAAAAATATTAATATAGGCCATAATTAAAATACATTCAAGCACAGTGGCTTTTAGATGCATAAATCTTCTTTGCTTCTAGTAGAAATGTGTGGGTTTATGGGTCATAATTACCACTAATGCTATTAGCTACAGCAGAGTAGAACAACATACTGAGAGTTCATGCAAGGTCATAAGTGACTCTATTTAAGCTGAAGAAAGCAAGGATTAAATAGCATCTCTTTGAAGAAGGAGCACAGTATGATCCCATACACTCACATTCTGGAGTTCTACAAAAAGTTGCATTTTTAATCACCTATTAGCAAATTAAAAGTCCCTATTCATGCCGTAAAGCCCAGTAGAAAAGAGTAAGTGGTTTGCTACTGAAGACAGTTCAGTTCAACAATCAATATTGACTAATCTTATCCATTTATTAAAAGAAGCTTTCTAAACATGTCACAAAAAGGGTGTAGTCTTTAAAAAATGAGTATGTCAGGGGTTGTATTCTTATAACAGAAAGCAATGGTAACATCTGCTAGTCTTTATTGCTGGCTATATCCTGTTTCCCAGGAGAGTTTGGAAAAGTTAAAGACATTGGCAACACCTCTACTTCTCTGTGTATGAGGAGAGGAGGAGGGTAGCCTGGAATAAACAAGTCTGAAGTTCCAGAAGAGGAAAAAAATAAGAGTTGTTCTTCATCTAAAAGTCTATTGCAATCTGTCATCACAGAATGAGACTTCCAAAAGATTTATTTCAGCCTTTCAAAATGTCAGTGATCTCTCTTTCCTGGAGACTCTGCCTAAGGTTTCCCTCCATGCAGCCAAGAACACTTGCAGCCTTGGCAGTCTTGTTCAAGTCCTCTTGGGCTGCCATTTAAGACTTTCTGTTTTGGAGAAGGGTTATATCTTGAATGCTCAAGGTTGGCTCTACACCATGTGGCAGCCTTCTTCATCAAGGCTCCATGGGCTCCTGGGGTGAAATAAGAGGAAACATTTTAATGCTGCAAAGTATACATAATCCAATAGAAAATAATTAAATTGGAACATTTTTAATCAGCTTTAATTGCAATAAATCCCTAGCACACATCACAGCAAGACCACCAAGCTAATTTTATTAAACCTTTTGGTATTTCTGGGTGAAATGTGCTGTTACAGAGTTATACTAATTGAATCTTGGACAAAAGGTCTTGGTACCACTACAGAAACATCCAGAAGAACATGTAATTCTTTTGTACTAGAGATGTTTTAACCAGGCTATTACCTGATCTTGTCTGCTTTTATTACTGAACTGAACCCACCTTTGAAAATAGAGAATAGTGACACCTGAGACCTATTAGGAAGCCAGGTTGTCCCCAAAACAAAGGGAATTCAGCCCTCCTTCTGAGCATTGGGCCCAGCATGATCAGAGGATCTGTTTCTTCACTTTCAGTCACATCCCCAGTTAATCTTCACACCTCTCACACTTGTAGAGGCTCCATGATTTTGAGGAAATGCTAATTTGTTCACTCTTCATAATTGCTTTGATCCTGAGGAGCTTCATTCACAGCGATCCCCTTCTCCTACAAAAAGTTCAACAGTGAAACCTGAAAACATACTTTGTCATTCAGGACTCTTTTGTTGGAGGATGCATGTGTGGAAGCGGTAAAAATAGGCAAGTAGGAGATGGTGCTGCTCTAAAAGAATAGATATGGAAAGACAGATGAGAGCAAATATCTACAGCATCAGATTCTGTCAGTATTGCTGCTCACACTGTTTTCCCTTCCCTTCAGCTCAAACCAGTTGCTCTCTGCCCTTTTCGCCCTACCTGTAAGCAATCTGAAATACTTTGCTGTAAAAGGCATCTCAGGACTTCTTTGAAAGTATCCTAGGAAACAGCAGGATAGCCCACAGTGCATGAAAACTTCCTTTTCTTGGATGAGAGACAGAGTCACAGCAATGGTAGAAAACAGAGGAACTCATTGGCTATGGCAGAATTCCACTTGTGTTGGAGAATTGAAAGAAAACTGATAAAATAGACACTTCAAGTAATTATTATTAGGAAACGAAGAATCACAGCACATAAATGTGGGAATGAGACTTAACTGCACCCCCACATGCTCTGCAGAGGTGCTCAGTACCATGCATGTCTCCTGAAGATGTTTCAAATAACTCTTCAATTAAAATAATAATTTGGATGTAGAAAGATCAGGCAAGAAGAAATGCTGCAAAGGAAGGTAAACCAGGAAAACCAGGTATCAGACTAGGTTATTAGCTGTACAGAGAGAAAGAACCATTTCTTCATATTAAATTGGGTTGGTTTCCTGCTCCCAGCTTAGGGGGTCATGCAGCACTATGGAGAGACAGAAAATTAAACAGCAGATGCAATGCATGTTTTAAGCCTGGTTCTTCCAGACCTATCTGAAAACACAGAGTTTAAGAATAGTCCTCTGTATCGATTTTGAGTCTTTGGCTGCAGGCTTATTTAGCCTCTGGGAAAACAAAAAGATTGCATTAAATATAATTAAACAAAGTATTGCAGAGAAAGTACTGCAGCAAGGTCCTGATCCAGAGCTAATGATAAACTAATTAAATTAAACCAATTAAAGTTGTAAACAATACTCATAATCTGATTATTGCATTTTAAACCTGAAAGAGAAGACTGCATTTTGTGGAAGAGGATATAGCACCAGTATTAAATGCAAGAAGATTCAAGGCAAACTCACCATCTCACCACATTACATCCAAACCTACCACTTCAGAGGCCATGGTACCTGCTAAACCATTTTATTTTAGATAACTTCATACACAACACCCATATTTTCAATACTACCACAACGCAAAATATGACAAAATAGGCCAAGATCCAATGGCCACTGTTTGCAGGCAGCCTGAACACATGGAGATAGTATACATACATAGCCATTTTACCAGTAAGAGAAGAACTGGGTGATCTTGCACCATGTATTAGCATAGGCTACTTCCTCTCCAGACTCAACAGCATGTCAGCCTACAGCCTTGAGAATGACAAAGCCGGGATTTTCCTCATCCCTAATGAGATGAAATTCTCTATTTAGCCACTTTTAGCTGGAACAGGCATACATTTCTGGTCAGCTGTGCACAGAACTCAGTCCACATTATTGATCTTGACTTCAAATTGCAGCTGATTTGTGTTTTGTTTCAGTGGTGGTGTTTGTGGGAGGAACACTTGTGCTGGTTTTGACTGGGATAGAGTTAATTTTCTCCATAGTAGCTGGCATAGAGCTATGTTTTGGACATGTGCTGAAAACAGTGTTGATAACAGCATTGATAACATAGAAATGTTTTCGTTATTGCTGAGCAGTGCTTACACAGGGTCAAGGCCTTTTCTGCGTCTCATTCCACACCACCACCAGGTAGGCTAGGGATGCACAAGGAGTTGTGAGGGAACACAGCCAGCACAGCTGACCCCCATTGACCCAAGGGATATTCCATATCATGAGATATCATGCTCAGTAATAAAAGCTGGGGGAAGAAGGAAGGGGAGACATTTGGAGTATGGCATTTGTCTCCCTGAGTCACAGCTACACGTGTTGGAGCCCTGCTTTCCTGGGGATGCCTGGACATCTGCCTGCAATGGGAAGTGATGAATAAATTACTTGTTTTGCTTTGCTTGTGTGTGCAGCTTTTGCTTTACCTCTTCAATTGTCTTTGTCTCAGCACATGAGTTTTCTGATTTTTACCTTTCCAATTCTCTTCCCTATCCTACCAGGGGGATTGAGCAAGCAGCTGTGTGGGCCTTGTGGGGAAAGCAGCAGCAAAAGTCATATTCCCAGCTGGGCCTCAGCCAATGAAAAAGTGAGCGAAGAGTTGGTACTTACTCTGTACAATATTGCATTCACGTGTCACCACAGCATGTTGGCATTTAATAACAAATTCGCTATTTAATAACAAGTAAATTGCTATTGTAGCAGCTAGTATTTCTAATTTTGTCACAGAAGGATGTTTGTGATGCCATTTGCCTAGTTTAACAAGGCTGTGAGATTAAACAGGTGACTTGAACATGAAAGCATCATCAGCCAGCTACTGAAAAAGTCAAAATTTTACTACATAAAGGCTAGACTAGCAGTCTGTCATGCTATTAACAGCAAGAAAAAATTAGATGCTACCATTTAACTATGAGGTAATTGCTCTTCTCAGTTAAACTTTAAATAAAAGCTGATGACGATAGTTATACTTTGCAAACGTCTAAGTGGGAGGTTTTGCTTGCGAGCAAGTTATCAGTAGCAGAACCATATTTCAAGTGAAACTGAGTACCGGAGAAAAAAGTTTAAAAGGAAATAATCAGGAAACCAACACAGTTGCTTATTGTACATTTTATCACAGTGCAAGTTTCAATATTGAACAAAAATAAACTGCAACGTGGGCAAATTCCTAAATTCAACTGTGTTCAAATTATATCAGTAGCAGATGTATCCCTGGCCAAAATACTGGAAGACAGATTTCAGTCTGCTCCTCCTATTCTCCAGCTAATACTTTCTTTAACAAAATGAAACAAGGACTGTTGCAAGGTAGAAGGAAGTTATGCAGGGGTGGGGAAGTTTTTTTGGGATAGTTCAACTCAATGATCACCCAAGGAAATTAAGTATGACTAATATTGAATATATATTTTACTATTGCTACAAAAACCATATTTTAATGCAGTATTTGTAAATATTTCTTAAAGTACTAAACTGATATTTTTAAAATGTGCTGATACGACATGACAAAATGTTTTTTGTTTTCTATTGAAACAGTGGCAACAGTAGCTCATTCCAAGGCTTTCCCTGCCCACATAAACCCCCTTTTTTCCCCTATGTGGTAAGCACCATCAATCTTTTCTTCTGCTGCTTAGAGGTAAGGAGTCAAGAAAATGGAATCAAAGACAGAAAAAATTAATACCTCAAGGCTGCAAAAAATGAAGTGCCAGTCTCCAGTGTTTAAATAGTATTGGTATGGTGCATTAAAGCTCAGTGTGTGAGAGAAAGAGGGACTCTAGTCTCCCATTAACTACTTTGTCTCACGTGCTCATACATTGACAAGCAGGAAATTCAGAGAGCAGCCCTGTGGTTTCTGGTATGCCGAGATCATACTGCCTGCAAAGTGGGCTGCTGAGAAACCAGCAACAGCCTCCTGGCTTGCTCTTCCACCTCTATACATCTCAGCATATGGTGGTGATGCTCACATCCCAATTGTGCACTGATTTGAGGCCTGCTCTCATGACTGAGGATTTGGTCTTGGATTGTTATAAGCAAGTGTTTTCCACTGCATGATGGCTTTTATCTGGCAGCAATGAAATAGTAACATTAAGGTTAAAAATTATCTTTAGAACATTTTGTGCTGTAAACTTAATTTAAGGCTGAATAAATTTCACTGGCAAATGAAAACATCACTTAGGAAACGTGTTTAAAATAAGCCACAGTAACAAATCAAGTGCAGCATCTAAAATATGGACAAGTTCAACTCATATATTTTCCTCCACTAAATCCATGTTATTTCTTCTTCCCAGTTTGTCACTTGTATATCTTGGCATCATAGGAAGGCAAACACTTTTGTATTGCCTAGAGTTGCACAGAATCTGGCTGAGTAAAGCAGAAGCTATACAGTTCAAAATTACAACCCCCTGCTTTCTAAGATGAATAGTATGAGACCTCTGCGGGAACATAGGCATTCATTTCTCTGAGATTTATCATAAGCTCTCAGAAACGGCATCTCACACGCAAAGAAAACTTTCACTTACTCCAGAGTGTAACTCTGCTCCCATGTGCAAAATGACATCAAACATTCCTCAGCCTCAGGACCCCAAAACAACCTTTCCATGTACCTCCTAGAAAATGGTCATTTACCTAGGACTGATTCAAGCCACCAAGATCATTCAGATACAGAATGAAATCTGGACCTCTTACATGCCTATGAACCCCAAGATGTTGGCTGTTTCAGCAAGCAGTTTTTCAGTCAAGCCTGTTAGAGGCTAGGCAGCATTTTCCATAAAGGGGAAAAAAAATGTAATTTAATGATTACACAACTCATTTTGAAACATGAAGAGATGCCTAATTAGATTGTAGCTGGCAATTATATCTGTAGGCATTACATAATTAATCACTTGATGTAGCTGCTCTTTCAGATAAATACTCTTTAAAACATTCCTGAGAACATACAGATATAACTGCTTCAGTTAAATGTGTTCAACATGCACACCACCATGAGGTTTCTCCAGATAGCTAAAATTACAGACATTGCAAAGCATTCTTTATTCTGAGGCAATTCACTCTGCTGGGTACAGTATGAAGCACCTGGGAAGATAAAACATTGCAACAGAACCAGGTATATGGGCCTCCCTTACCTTTCCCTGCAGATACCTGCTGGAAAGAAGCAGTTCCTGGAGTGGGAGCAGCTCCAAGGCCCTACTTGGAGAAGCCCATCTTGAAACACTCTGACAGACCAGAGAAGCCAGCGTCCAACATTCCTTTGTACTAATCAGTTTCCCTCCACATTCAGTTTTCTTAGAACAATGCAGCGGGAGGAAGAGGGCAGAGCATTTTAATACAGCTAAGGTCCTGTTTTACACTTCATTGCATTGCAACACAGCTTAATGTACTGGCAACAAGCCACAGTCAATATTCAAATTAAAGCAGTTTTCTCTGCAAGACAGAAGAATCCCTTTTATGCAGACTCATTTCCTTCAGTTCAACTTGTACAGAAACATTGTGACTCAGGATGGATGTGGAGACATTAATACTCCAGTATAAATTCTGAATAGAACTTGCATATGTGTTTTCTAACGCTGTCTTGCTAGAAGTTATGCTGAACCATGGGAAGTGTTCCAAGAACATCAATACATGACCAGAAGGCACACTGGGTTCACAGCTTTCTTAGAAAGCCTACAAAGTCCATATTTTATGAAGACTTACAAAAAATAACACATTAAGAAAGGTGCTAGTATCACTAAGACAAGAGAGAGTTCTACAAAGGCAAAAACCAAAGATAGACTACTGAAGAGCCTCAGGACAGGATCTACCTGCCTTGTAGATCCTGTCTTGAACTTAATAAAGGGTCTAAGGTTAGACCCTTTATTAATTTGTAATGGTACAAGGTGAGATGCAGTTTTCAAACAAAAGCAGACTTTCCCCTAAGGATGGAAGAGTCCATTATTCATTATAGGACAACTACATAAGAATTCAGTTAATTCCAGTCTTTTAATGAGGGTTATGGATTTAGCCCGTTATGAATGAAGAAGTTTAAAATGGTGGAAATTAGTACTGCTCACCATTAGATGCTCCTTTATTGAAGAGCAGTCACCACCTCATCTGCACACACACCACTTTTCTCCTGCTCTGTATGTGTTCTTACATATTTGAAGGCTTGTAACTCAACTTTGACTTTGAACCTGCATGTGTTGAAATGCATTAGAATTAACAGTTTTCTTTAAGTGATTTGTTGGTTTGGTTTGTTTTTTTTCCATCTGAGAAAACTGAGAAAACTGCAGTATAGATCAACTTTTGATCTGTTTCATGACTAACAGCTTGCATTTTATTGTGTGCAAGAGACACACTGCATGAACCAGTATTTTCCAGAGCAACTAGGCAGTCCACAGATAATGCTAGAGCAAGATCTGCTCTAGCAAAAGATATACTGAAATTCTCACTGCCCAGAAACATAGGTAGGCTGGAGAAGGGTACTTAATAAAGAACTAATACAATGTAGATGCAGACCTTGGACAAAACTGGAAATTAACCTCTTAAAAAAACTGCTGCAGTAAACATTAAAAATGGGAACTTCATTATCTAGTTCATAAAATGCTGCTGAAAATGTAATCCTTCAAGAATCCTTCAAGGCAAAAGCTGCAGGGGGCACTTAGCACCCAATGATCTGAATTAACCCTCTCCCATCAGCTGAGAGACACAAAAAAAGACTGTAGGCAGAGGTTACACAAATATGTTCCTACACAAAAAAAAGCACTTATGCATGCAAGATCCATGATTTGGTAGATAAGAACAAGATATTACCATATATAATTATCA